TCTCCTTAGACACCGCAGTTCGACGATCAGTTGTAATGTGCACTTCAAAAGTAAAGCGTACACGTCTCATTATTATTAAAATTAACGGACTACTATTATGCAATCAGCCTGTTACAGTATCTGTCTTTATATGTTTTCAAATTTTCAAACCAAGGTATTTGTATGAATTATGTTTATAAATGTGGCTACTGTAATACTTATTGTCGTATAGGTTTTTTTAAAAGATTTATTAGAATAAAAGAATGCCATTAAAATATAGGTTTGATTTTGTTCTGTTATTTTTTTGTAGAGAGGCATGTTGGTACAGTTGGCAAGAATGTTAAGAAGCAGTGGTGTTCAGCTTCAGGATGGGTAGTAAATTTGAGAGAGTGGATAGCAACATAAGAATACAGTGTGCTGGTAAGTGGAGAAATATTGAATCTTTTCATCCAATGGTGATATAGCCATACTGTAGTTAATAATCTCAATTTTGTTTTCATAAATGTTATTTGTTATAAAATTATTGTTTGAAATATTTTTTTCTTTTTCCATTCTCTTCACCATATAGGGCAATAAAAAAATGCTGTTAAATACATCCACCAATTGTAAATTAAAAATTGTACTACATACGTGGTTCTTATCTCCTCGGTTTTACAGTTTTTCTTATTTGTGCAATACGCCTCTTCCACGAATTGGTTGACATCTTAAAGCGATGACAAACAACCCAAGTCAGTGGTGCGTAACCAACAGAAATAAGATGAGCTTTGAGGCTAAATTCTTGTCCTCATGACAACAAGAATCAAAACCTCAAAGCATACCTCATTCCTGTTGGTTATGCACCACTGACTTGGATTGATTATCATTACTTCAAGATGTCTACTGATTTGTGAAAAAGGTGTATACAATCATCAATGTCATAAATTATATTAACACAGTACAGTATTATGAATATTCAATCTGATAGCATGGAGGAGTAACCCTCCATGCTACCAGAATGCTGTACGAGAAGGCTGTGAAAATTACATTGGGATGTCTTATAGTCAAGTTTTATCCAACTGACAGTTGGTGTTGAATATATATAAATACAAACCCTATGAAATAATGTTATTTGAGGGACAATTAATTTTAATTAATATTACTCATTTATTTTTAAACCATTTTTATCATTAATGTACGTCTAAATATTTGTTGGTTAAATCTAATATCATTTTTCTATAACCGGCTGTTTGCTAGTTGACTCATTTGCATAATTCACCAGACCATTGTCTCATTACAATGATGTAATTTAATGTTAATGAATATTCATTACCTGACACTTGAAACTACAGAAATCAGAAAACTGCTGAAATGACACCACAGCAAGAGCAACTTCAAGATAGCATATATATCTTTCAGCAGGCCAAAGTCAGTAGGTTGCACAAGGGTGTCACTGCAGTAAGTTGTAAGTTCCTACTGCTTATATATATATATAATTAATATCATATATTATATTTGATATATATATCACAAACATATATAATACATATGTGTTTTTGTGTGTTGACCATGATGTAATAGATTGAAACCAGCTTCATACAGTATATATAAAAAAATAAGAAACTTTAGGAGAGAAAAGCAATATTTTGACCTATCCTTAGATATATTTAAATATATATATACATTTTTATATTATAAAGTTAACATATATTACATATATACATCATTAATGTAAGTCTAAATATTTGTTGGTTAAATCTAATATCATTTTTCTATTACAGGCTGTTTGCTAGTTGACTCATTTGCATAATTCACCAGACCATTGTTTCATCACAATGATGAATATTCATTGTGTGACACTTAACTACAATAATCAGAAAACTGCTGAAATGACACCACAGCAAGAGCAACTTCAAGATAGCATATATATCTTTCAGCAGGGCCAAAGCTGGTGGGTTGTACATGGGTGTCACTGCACCTGCTACCACTTGAATTTGACACTTAAGTTACTTGTATCACTAGTCTCAGCCATCTATTTCATGAATGTATAATAAATGTCTATTTCAGTGCAGACTTCCCACAATTCATCTGCACACAGGCTAGCATTAATGTCCATGTAGATTAAACCTTTTTTAGCCCACTCTTTGAGGGAAAATCTGTGAAATTGTATGTTTTTATATCATATCTCTTACCATTGGGATGAGTTTCTTAAGAAAGTATGTTCGTCATTGGTCAGATTGCAAATGATCTCTATATTCCATATTGTGTGTATCAACCAATCAACCAGCCTTGAATGGTAAGCTTTATGGCTAATAATGCGTTGAGTCTAGTTAGTAGTGATATGTACAGCCGTTTCGTGGGTGCAAGGCTGGGTGGTCTAGTTGGAGAAGCAGCTTAGCTAGGCATCTCTTAATTACACTACGGTACAGCTAGACGAAGACGAATCACATAGGTTGGCTGGGTATGTGTAGTAGATCAGATATTACAGAAATGTAAGCTATCTTTTATGGATTCAAACTAATCACAAGTTGCTTTTATGTGTATTAAACCACACATTCAAATCACTGTGTTTACTTGTATGTTTTGTAGTTAAAAGTGTTAATGTTCCTGATGAACTTAAAAATAAATTTACATTGAATAGTTTTACATTGAATAGTTTTAAGTATCATCTTAAGAAGTCTTTGGTCTTGGTGTATGGTAATTAATTAATTATCTTTTTTTCTTTTCTTGCTCTCATTTCTATTTCAGTCTTGTGTTCTTATGTTCAAAACTGGATTGGAATTATTATAATTAATTATTATTAGAATTTTATCAATCTGTGATTATATTAGTTTAAATATAGCTAATCATTGGTACCGGTCACTTTTCCAACTGTTTTGTTAAAGGTGGCTATGTCTTACAGCTCTAATTGAACTCACTGTAGCCTCCTTCCATACAATGTATTTTTTTTTTCAATTTGCATTCTTATGCAATACTGTATTGTATGGAAAATAAATGCATATTTGATTTGATTGTTCAATACATGTAAATAACAACACACTCCACGACAACACCAGCTCCCACCGACAACCTCAAAACGTTATAGGTAGATAGAGATCTTTCATTAATTCTGAATACTTAATAAATTTACATTGTTCTGCCTTAAGGTCTGTTCAACAGTCAAAAACATCTTTTTTTAGAATATGAAATAATACTTAAAGAAATTATTAAAAAAAAAAAAACAGTGAAAATTGGCATACATCCAAAAGAAACCGTTTTAAATGAAATCAAATTTTTGAAAGAATGAATTTTTTTTTAAAAATTGGTCAACACTTTTAAAGATGGGTTCACTTGTGTTTTACGCATCAAATAGATAAACTTCTCAAATCTGCTTTAGTCTTTTTAAAAAGTAATGGGACCACACCAGAGTATTTATTTTGCATAAATGCATCAAGTTTTGGATGGGTTCATTGCAATTAGAATTCATGCATAAAATCGGTCTAAATTACATTGTGTTTAGGAGTTATGTTTAGGAGTACAGTATATGGTATATTTTTAAATCCAAAAAATGCCCCTATTAGAAACATAATGTTTACTAGTTTAGATCAGCTCCATTTAAAATGAATTAAAAAATATATTGGAAAACAAATAAAATTATTTGAGGTGGAATGGTTCACATTTACTTCTTTACTTTACACATGTAATGGGTTTTCATTTTAGTGGACGGGTATACATTAGTTAGATTTTATGCATAAAATGGTCATTGAGTCACACAATGAATATCAATTATTTATACGTGAAAGATTTTCCACATTATATATAGAGTAGGCTATTAGAAAATGATTAATTTTCCATTCGCGAGGACTACAATACATATTTCCGCATTCCCTAGCTGCGTCCCTACCCCCTATCAACGCATACAGGTAAAGTTTGTCGGGTTTGTCCACTTTTGGATCCGAAAATAGCAGCTGGCAACATCCAGAACTGATATCTTCCATCAAGGGACAGAAACAAGATTTACAAAATAGCAATGAGAAAGCCTATACTCACCTCAGCCAGGGGCAGATTTAGGGGGGGGGCCCAGCCCCCCCTTTTGGGAGGTAAAAAAAGAAAAAAGAAAAAGAAAGAAAAAGAAAAAAAGATAGCCCAGACCGCCTCAAATGTTATTTTCGGGCATCTAGAACACAAACATTTTGACCCCCTAGGACATTGTTGTCTCGATTGGCCCAAACTTCGGCCCCCCTTTTGGGCATCTCTGGATCCGCCCCTGTCAGCCCCACCATGGTAATGATGATGTCAGAACATTTTGGAAATATGGTTGATTTAATATTATTGGGGACTAGAGAGGAGAGCAAATTTTGGAACTTCATATTTTTGATGTCACAATTTATTCACCTTGCGTTGCGGAGAACGATGATTTCAGGATTTTACGTTGGTTACGGGTTTGCACATGCGTATTTTGATTTGTTTAAGGATATCGCCCTGCATGTTGGGTACTAACGTTAAAAATGCGAAAACTACCTAATAGCAGCTAAGAGCCTCTACCCGTCCCCCTCAAACAGACAATATTTAAACTTGGTGGGATATTGGAATTCATAACTACCTCACTATGGTGAGGTGAATAATTTTTGAAAATATGGCATTTCTAGATCCCAAGATATATCAGCTGACAACTACCCCTATTCCAACCAAATGGAGTGGCAGATAGCATACCCACCTCAGCTCCACTGTGGTTGATTGCAAGTAATTAGGCCGGCTTGATACGTATAAATAGTTATAAGTGTTGTTTTAGTGGTGGTCTGACTGAAGCCTCTAGGATCCTTCAAAACATAGTGGTTTATGGAAAAATACATTTGTGGAGTAAGATTAAGTACTCATGGCCTTGTTTTGACTGGTCAGTTGGATTGATGCTCAGAAAAGGGGAAACACTAACTGTTAAAACAGTTCTGGTTCTTGAAGTTCATCATATATTTATCATCATCAACGTCGTCATCGTTGCCATCATAATCCTCATCAGCATGGAACTTCCATGAAACAAATATAACTGATAACCTTTTACACAATAATTACTTTATGACAAAAAATGTCCTTTTATTAATAAACATGGTAAATATATGTATATTCATCTCTACAACATAAGCAGCCTTTACAAATCAAGGGAACATGATGAAAAAGGAGGAAAAAAAAAAATAAAATAAAAATAAATATTGAAAATTGAAAGAAAGATAGATATGTCAAGGATCACCTGTTCCCTGGCAACAACATTTGTAAGTACTCATCTATCATATTTGGAATAAAACATGTTAGCTTTATAAATACAGGTAATGCTAAAACTTTAAACGTGGTTAGCTTGGCATCTTTAAAATTGACAAAAGAGCTTTTTTTTACACACACACAAACACACCACCCACATACATGACCCTTCTTAAACATGGCCATATAAACAAGTCTTTCACATTCAGCTAGGCTGCATGATTACAAATGCAAAGATACAAATCACATCATTTTGTTTAATTGCTCATGTTAAAAAAAGTTATTTGGAGGGCGCCCTCAACAATTATGCAATTAATATACCGCCCTCTGTATTTAAATTGCAACTGTATGTTGACTATGAAAGAAGCAATTACTATAGGCATAATTAATAATTATATTTATTTTAGCAGGTAATAAAAAGTACCTAGTAGTAATTAATACAATATTATTGATTATTTAATTACAGTATTATATGCCAGTAGATAGCTTCTTAACATGTATTTATCATGTGGTTATAAAAAAAAAACAACCTAAAAATTTAAATGCGACACACTAAAGTCTCAGCAAAACTTATTACTTGAATTCCTTTATACAACATCAATAAAAATAAAAAAGAATATTTAAAAAATCACAAAATTTAATATTCATTTCACAATTTTATTCATATTTATTATGTACATATTCTAACATCTCTAAATTCTTGAAAGACGCGAGGACAGGGTTAATTAGAAAATCAAAGTGCTATGAAAAATATGTTGAAATCAGAAATTTTGGAATAAACACAGATTAAATATTAATTGTTAGTAAGAAATTAATAATAAATTATTAATTTATCTATTAAGTATTATGTAGTAATTAATAAATTAATAATGGATTAATAATTAATTGTTTACAAAAAGTAAATTGCAACTCAAATAAAATCTCATCCCAAAGTCTATAACATGGGAAGAACACATTGTCAAAAAATAAATATTTACAAAACAATTGCTTTAAAAATATAAAGCACACAATTATGGTAGCAAATAATTAATAATAAACTTCAACATTAGAATTAACTACAATATGGATAATTAAAATAGTTTGGTTTTAACAGTAAAATAAATGGGAATAAACTAATACTAATTAACAAAATCACTGCTTAAAATTATTAAATTCAAGGTTGTATGATGCCATTTGTTTTTACTAAATACTATTACATATATTTTACATTTTTATCATTTGAAAAACATTAGGACATGTATAATATACATATTTGGCACGTAAATATGAAGAGAAAATGAACATATTACTTAAAACATATTTTAGCATACTCTTATTGTATCAGCTTTACAGTTCTGTCTCTAAGCCTGCTTAAGACAATGGAAAAATATCAACAAATAAATACATTAAGCTAGGGCCCTTTTTTCCACAACCTGTACACATGTAAAAATATTCAAAAGATACCATTAAGTCATCCGATTGTAGACATAATTAGCAAAATGTCAATAGTAAACATTAAATAATGAATAATGGTTTCTTTCTGACGAGAAACCATTATGTATGTGATGTACAAAAACAAGATGTTTTTGTTTGTTTTTTTCCCCAGATTGAAATCAAGGTAGCATAAGGAAATCTAGAAAAATACAATATATATACAGTGGAAACTAGTACAAATATGAAAGCCCTGTCCAGACTATCACATTTGATTTGACAAAAACATGTGACATGCCTAAATATGGTCATGATGACATCACATCATCACCATATATAGGCACATCATGACTATACATGGACAGGGTTTTACATTTTTACTGATGATTGACACCTTCGGCATGATAGATGATAAGGGAAATAGTTTAAAACTCATTTGCATAATAATAGTAGGAAATCAATAAACTATTGAATTCTGATTATTATTATTATTATATAAAACAACCGGTAAAACAATATGAAATAATATTGTATCAGTCCCAATAGATATGTATTTTTCAATATCTATTATTTAATACTGTTTTAATTATCTAAATATATTATCAGTTTACACTACTGATAATGGTTGGAGAATTGTACAACACACAAGTTTTGACTGTCATTAGCAATTGTCTCAATAACAATTGCACACTTAATGATTTCTTCAATCAACTATTCCAGTATAAATTGAGTTGTAAAATTTCATCGATATAGTTTGTAAAAAAGAGCCAAATCAATCAATTTATTGATACAAAATAATTGTAATTACGTGATTAAGTATGTGATTGTCCAAAGTCTGTAGACATTGCCTGTGTCTTAAATTTGTGTATCCTTTCCTTAATTTCTGATAAAATTCAGTCTTTTTTACTGAGAGAGTTCAAAATTTAAAAAAAAGGAATGAAAAAAACTAATCAATTGATAGCCACAATTATTCAATTTGATAAAACAATAAAAAATAGTCTATCAATCAACTTATATTAATTAATGGGTACTTTTTCAAATATTATATTTTTTGTATCAGAAAACATTAAATATACAGATTTTATTGACAAGCAAATTATTATAAGCTAATCAATCAGCCATGTCACAACCAACAATCAATCAATCAATCATTCTACACACATAGGAGATAGCAACATTCTTTATCTTTACAGAAACAGACAAATCAGTGTCCATTTTTGCTGCTTATAATATCATGCAGTGTTTTCTAAATTTCACTATTTAAACCTACTAATACACCTAGCACCATCTTTTTTCTAAAATCTCAAAATGCTTCTTTGCTTGGGTCTCATTTTTTGTATGAAAAAAAAAACCAAAGAAGGTTGCAAAAACAAATTATGAAGAACTATTGCAAAACAGCTTTCCTCCCTCAAACACGACAAGTCTCAATGTTTTCAGATACTGTATTAAACATAGCAGTTTTTCTTAAACATCAGCTGCTATTTGTAGAAACAATTTCTTTCAAGATGCAATAATTGTACATGTTTCCTTTGAAAAGTTCAATAAACAAAAACAAAAACAGCTAGCAGACTATCATCGCATTATTGGGTGAAACTTGGCTTCTTCAGGCGTTAAAAATGTTATACTATTTCCATCAAATGCAATCTGTGGGTAAGTGGAGATATCCATGACGTAATACGAATCATATTCAAGGAGACTTCCGTGTTCTATAATCTGTCTCTTCTCCTCGGCGCTCCACTCTCTTCTTCCTTTCTTCATATCTATCAAATTTGCCTGCTCTTTCTTCCAGGCATCTTCAGTTGCAACCAACTTTGCGTATTCCAACACTTTTGCAGTGGCGTCACTGACACTAACGCCGTAATATATATGCCAAACGGTATTGTCCGTACTGATATCAAGTCCCCGATGATCCAGCGACCTCTGTACAACCGTTATATTGTATTGTCCAATAGTCCTTTGTGAAAGACTTTGTGTAAGTCCAAATAATCCTAAATCATTCATAAAACCAGATTCTTTCACAAGGTAAACATGTTCCTTAGTGTTGTCATATTGGCGAAGATGTTGCAAAGGAATGGTTCCGCTCAAAACAGCTGCAACGTTCCTGTCAATGTTGCTGCCACCTTCCGGTGGCTTGACAAGTAAGATGCCTCTCTTCAGCGAAAGCTGGAGTCCAGCCTTTGAGCGAAGGTTGGAGCAGCTCTTTGATGTCTGGTCAAGAACGCTGGGTATAAGCTGCGTTGTCGGGTTGGCTTTGAAGTGAATATTGAATGCATCCAGTTGGTTGGCAAACCGACACATTGGTGATGTTGAATCCTGTAATAAACACACATAATCATTATTCAATCATATTGTGGAAGATAATGGTGCAGAGGTAAGTCCTCTGGATTTCACTGGAGTGATCAAAGGCCTGAGGCCTTTTTTTGTTGTTATTAGTCAAGGCAATTTATCTGCATTACTTTACTTTACTTAACTTTGCATTACTTCTAATGTATTTGAGCTGCATATATTGTGTATGATAAATCTGACCAAGTTCTTTATGAGAACCATACATCCTTTGCCATGGGCATCTGGGTGAGCATCCTATTTTTATACTCCTTATTCCCCAATAGATATGCAAATGGTGTAAATATCTTCATATTCTAGTAAAAGTCATTAAATCAGTGGTAACTAAACCACTAAAAGTTCACTTTTTTAAACGAAATTTTTCTTAAATTCCTGGCTTCTATTTTTATTGTTAAGCGCATTGAGGCTTAAACATAATGCACTCTATCAAGGTTCAATTATTATTGAGAAACATGTCATTGAAACTCAATCCCTCGCTGTGCATTTTCGCTTGTGTCCTTGAGCAAGGCACTTTATCTGCATTGCTTCTCTCCACCCAGGAGTACAGATGGGTACCTGGTAGGGTTGTCTGCTACCTGCAGCAACACTTAAAGCATGTGGAATAAATGATCAGGGAAAAGAATTGCACTTTATAACCACAAGGAAAAGCCAGTACTGGTAATGTAATTTTTGGAATGTTCTAGATTGTACTACCAAAATAGAGAATATCTTTAAATAGTATATAAAAATAAAATGTATAATATAAGTAATAATACTCTCTAGGTAATGTATAATAAAATAAAAGGGTACACCTTATCAAACGTACATACCTGGCACATATTTGTAGACTCTTTCCAGTCACTTGGTGAACCCCTCCAGACTTCACCTCTACTTGTCACTTGGGGCATCATATTTTCGATGTTAAAACCTAGTACAGGCAACCATGATGAAGTATCTGCAAGAAGTGATATGAAAAAAAAATGTTTAAACTTTTTTCTACACCTGAGAATGGAAAACATTATAATTATTAAGGTTGAAGTTACAAAATCACAAACAAAAAAAAACAACAATAAAAATTAGGTAAACACTCACCCATGTAGTAGTTTCGTTCTTGATCCAAATTCGTAGGATTATTGCCAAAGAATGTGTACAAATTTAACAACTTCGTTTTCTGAGCTTTACCAATTGCATTGTAAAAATCAACATCAGGTGATGTCCATCGACCAATCCGAGGATCATAATCCCTCTTGTTGATATGTACAAGGTGCGTCAATGGGTCATATAGTCCGCCCATGAAGCCAATATGCAAGATAAAGTCCGGGAACAGATCAGCAATAACGCCACCAAACGGTGTGTAAGTAATTTCCCGTCGGATTTCACCAGCCGTATTGAACATACCGTATGGGGTTCCAACATGATCTGTCGCCACATATAACTGTGTACCACCCTTATTGATGGAAAACAGATGGCCTTGAAGATCGTAGTCAAGAATCCACATCTCTTGTGTAGCATGTTCAAAGATGTGTGTAATCCTCGATGGCCGATCAACATCCGCATAGAAGTATTGTGTTTGTTCGCCATGGCTGTCTTTCCGCCATATGCGTCTTTTGAGACCATCATAACGGTACCATACTTCGTATTGATTCTCTTGGTGCGCATGTATTAACTGTCCTTCTGAGTTGTATTCAAACACCTCATTACCACGGTGAGTAAGAAAGCCATCTTTGTCTATTTTATAATTCACTGCACCATATTTTGTAATCCTGTCCTCGTTATCGTATTCTAATGTTGTAACGCTTCCCCCCGTGCTGATTGTTTCCATATTACCATTTCTGTCGTAAGAGTAGTGCCACTGCGGATTGGAGTTCTTCTCTACTTCTATCAGTTGTCCATCCTCATTATACGAATAACTCATCACATCACGGTGTCCAGCGAATTCAATTGAGCGGTTGGCTACACGACCGTGCGTATCATACAATAAAGTCATGACGAAGAGACGATCATTCTCAATTTGATATTGTACAGATTGAAGGAGAATGTACGAACCAAATTGCTTCTGCATCGAAAATGTTTTATCGCTTATCGCCTGCATGATCGTACTTGTATAATCATACCGAACGTTAAATCCTCCAAATTCCACCAATAACCCCTTCTTGCTGTCATAACGCCGAGTATAATCGGCAACATCCGTGGAGTTAAATTCTGATTTGATCGATACTACTTTAAAATTTTCGTCATATTCATATATGAAACGCACGCTAACGGAGTCCGCTTCACTTGGAGTTCGTACAACTTGCTGGGATATGAGTGAGCCGAAGTACTTGTATCGCAATTGATGGTTGTAATCAGCTGTCTCGATGTCAACAGTCCGCAGTTGACCGCTGTTCTTGTAGTAGGAGAACTTCGTGATTTGCTGCTCATCAATTACTGATGATAATCTGTCCTGTGTATCGTACAAATATTGGACCTGTCGTTTTGTTCGTGGATAAAACAATCGCAGTGGTTTCTTTGAAGTTGATTCGTCTACAACTAGCCAAGCTGTATTGTTGTATGAGGAGTAAATCTTCCTGTAAAAACCAAGACCAGTTGATGTCACCACATTATGTCGAAGTCCACTTGGCATGATGATGGTTGCCAGGAAACCCAAGTTATCATAAGCCAATAAGTAAGAATTCCCTGATGGCAGAATAACTTCATCCAACTAAAATAAAAAAGATTAAGAAATTTTGAATATCAGATCTATTGACTTCTTTTTACACATTAATTGTATTGCAAACTTATTTTCTTAAAGATCGTTGGGGGTGGGGGCGGAAAAAATATATAATTTTTTAAAAATTTTTTTAAGGAGAAAAAAAATTTTTTATTGGTTAATGTAAACAATGTAGTTACAGGAAAGGTAAATGCTTCAAATTTATATAATCAGGAGGAAATATACATATCTCATTTTTGGAGATTTCAAGGCAGCAGCAGGCATAATAATAATAAAGAAAACTTTTTTTTTTTTCTGAAATTTCTAGTTTTTTGTGGTGAAGGGTGCCCTAATTGGCTAAGTTTGTAAAACTATAAAAAAAAAAGTAGTTTAAATTAATTTAAATTAAAAATTAGTATATCAAAATAATACATACAATACGTTATTATAATGTCTTATTAATGTCTTAAAAAATATAGATATAGAACTACAAAAAGGTATTATAAATTAAGTTAAGTTAAAAATTAGGATACCAAAATAATACATACAATATGTAATTAATGTCATAAAAGTATGTATAAGTTTTTAGAACTATAAAAACGTATTTTATTTTAAATCAATATTAGGAAATAAAATACATACATTTCCATCTCTATCATATGTGAATTTCCATGCTTTCGTCATATCATTGTCGTAGGCCCTCCCCGTCATATGTCCAGCATTGTCGTATCTGAAGCTTTCGATAAGCAGGCCTTGCTGCCACTTAATGAAGCGCCCTCGATTGTCATAGGAAACATTAACAGGCAATATTCCATTGTTAGGCCTCCATTCGTTAGGGTGCCCATTATCATGATGTATCGTCAGTATTTCTTCATCATTACCCAATTTAATCGATTCAGCTCTGGTGAACCTGTTGTACTCAAACGTAAGAACATTATCCCCATTCACCTAGAAAAAAAAAATGATTTTATTAAACAGTGGGATTTGTATAGCAGACGGTATATGTCTGTGTGCAAAATTATCCTTTTAAAAATAAAAATTAACACAATTTTAACTGGTGGCCAAGGTTTAAAGTTGGTTTTCAAACTTATTTTGGTCTCCTTCAATGTCTTTCTTCATTTATTTAGTAGATATAATTTTAGCTTAATTTTATTTATTCACTTAATTTGTTAAGATTTATTTTGTAAAAAGTAACAAAATTACAACATTAATTTTTTAGAAGCAAGAAGTTTAACTTACTCTTAATCGTCTTCCGACGATTATGATCTTGCGCCGTCCTTGTCTACCTCCACGACGTCCGTAGAAACGCCATTCAAGTCGGTGGACATTACTTCCGGGGAAACTGATCTTGCGTTTGGTAGTCAGGATCACGGGGTCACCCTGAAATAGAGGGTGTCTGCCGGGCTCGAGAATGATACTACCATCATTTGGGTATTTGATGATCGATGCACCATCATTTTGAATACTGACTGCTGTCGAAATATCACCTGTAAATATGCACGAAATGTCACCGGGTCAAGATGGAACGGGTACTATGGACGATAACGATGGCAGTGATGGATGTAATATTAACGATGTTAATTACAATTTAAGTCATGAGTACGTAAGTGATGTTCAAAGTGCTGGTAACCACCGCTGTCCTTTATTTGTCAAATTATAAATGATAACTGGGGACAAACTGTCTTCTCACATTCATCCTTTAAAACTTGTTTAAAATGTTAACATCCTCACATTACCATTCTGTAAATAGCTGTGATGAATGGGATAGCCTCATTTATATTTTGCATACATTTTTTTTATTGATTTTCTATCTAAAATTTGATAAGAGGCTCTACAAACTGGTGTATACAGCTGTCGTAAGATAATGAAAGCCAATTGGCAGCCATTGACTCAAAGGCTTGGCAATAACAGATGCTGTTCATAGTATATTTATATTAAAAGAGTAATAAAGGTCATTAAGCCTTTTTGAAAAATAACATTTAAATGCTGAACAAATGAAAGAATATAAAAAACTTCTAAAATAAAATAATACCACCAAAATTAAAAACATTTGAACGCTTAAGAAAAATCAAACTAAAATTAATTTTAAATATATAATTACGGCTCTGTCCACACAGTCAAATTTTATGACAAATTTGTGTGATGTGCCCTAATATGGGCATAATGATGGCATATTGCACCCAAATATGTTGATGTCATATAATTCATCCAAATATGCTGTCACAAAACAGAATTAGATATTGTAGACAAAGCCAATGGTTTTATAACATGCAAATCCTGTAACAACGCAGTGTAGGGCGGCCCCTCTCAAAAACAATTACTTTTCAACTTTGGCATCAAATGTTGATAACTAAAGATATCGCATCTTGCAATTTCTGCGTGCAAATTCTATAACAAACATGGTAACAAGTAGGATGCCCTCTCTCAAAAAACAATTACATTTCATGCTTCTTTTTTACTGAACATCGACACTTCTATTTGTTACGTGTAAAATCATGGAGAGCGCTATCTTGTAATTATAAGATCTTTGACAAAGCTTAATACACTGTTGGCAGTATAATAATCAACACACTCACCTTTCACTAGGTTATGGTTCACTGAGTGCGGAAGCCGCTGAGAGAAACTGATTGTACGTGTGTCTACAGCGGATCCGACACTGACGATGCTGTGTGTTCTGTTGAGTCTACTGGCTATGGATGATGTGTATCCAGTTGGACTAACTATGGACATCAGGTGACCAAACTGATCATAACTGTGGAGGAAACAAGTAATAACAATCAAACACCTTACATTTTTCTAGTTAAGATTGTTTAAGTGTCAATGCACTTTCAGGTGTCCATAAATTACATAAATTTGTTCTATATACTTGAAAATCTATGGACAGAAATCAAGAGGTCTTAGAAGAAGGTATAGTGAGTAATTTTAGCTTAGGGGTTGCAGGATTTGAACCCAGGATCTTGAAACTGTATGGCTAGCTTCCTAACCACAGCTCTACTTGAAAGTAACATGGCAGATATTAAGACTTACTTGTATGTCTGAAACTCGCCACTTTTTCCAATCATCTTCTGCAGCAGACCGGACTCCTCACTGGTATACTTGATGGCGATGTTCAAACCTACTCCAGATACTCTGGTAAGAAACCCTTTTCGACTGACACTTAACTGGATTGCATCTCCAGTTGGCACCAACATTTGTGTTGGTTTGTTATCCGAATTGTAATGAATCGTGATAACACTGCCATAAACGTCCGTGATGCTTTTTAGCAGTTTTTTTGATGTGTAGGTGAAGTTGTATAGCACCTGTTCTGTTAGAGTGTCTCTGGTCTTGATGTGTTGGCCAAAACTGTCAAACACCAAAACCTCGGTCTTACTTTCCGAAGGAATCTCGTAAACCTGGTGTCGCTTGACAATCGGAACACTTGATCCCACTGTCCGAATTCTCAAATTACCTTGATCAGCAATTACCAGAGTACCGTCAGAAAGGGTGGTCAGTGCTGTTGGTGCATGAAGCAACGTGTCAACTGCAACAGACTTATTGCCATCAAAACAATCACAAGTGTCTTGCATGCAGTCACAAGAGGAATCCCTGCCAACAAATCTTTGAATCATTCCATTTGGTGTGACCAACCTCACTCTGTTGATTCCCTCTAGGTTTGTCTCTGCTATATATAACTTGCCATCATATGTAAGAGCAATAGCACTTGGTGACACCAGAACTTCATTTGCTGCTATTGCAACATCTGTAGAATCATCATCTGAATGCTGGATGTGGGACTGACTGGTGTGGCAACCAGTTGGGACACCGGCAGCTATGGTAACTTGATTGTCCATGGTGATTCTGAGGACAACATCATCATCGACAACATAAAGAGAATTGTCAATGCGGTTGATGCTCATCTCTGTTGGCTGGTTTAGGTTCACCTCTTCAAACGACATGCTCCTATCACATGCAAATGCTCTTGGTGCAGTTAGTAGGCTATGAGATCCAAGGTGTGTACTGATGACACCATCTGGAGAAATCATTCGGATGATGTTCCCATCAACGAAGTAAACACTGCCATCATTGGCCACAGTAATACCTGGTGGAGTAAAGAAATGTGAACAAGTTAGTTTTAAACTGTCAAACAATATTGCCTGGTAGAGCAAAGAAATGTGAACAAGTTAGTCTATTTGAAATTTTAATTTCAATTTTAAAAGTCTTTCAAGTTTCAGGTTAAAAACAGAAAAATAATTGATGAATTTGTGGGTAATAAGTTTTTCACTTTGCAAAATCATGTTTACTACCAATCACTTTTACAGAAATTGCAGGATTGTTTTATAACTATCTCACCTTTGGGAGAAATAAGTTTAGCTTCATCAGCAGGACCGCCATCACCGCATCTGTAGGCATCAACAGGAAGGCAGAGTCCTCCGGTTCCCGCAACTACTTGAAGGTTGTTTTCAACGTCATGTGGAGAGGACTTATTCAGGATTCGATAGATACGCCTGTTCTGATTACTCGACAGGTATACCTCACCATCTAGTGGGCTTGTGGCTAGGTAGTATTTGTATGTTGGATTTTCACTGTAAAAAAGTACAAAATAAATTAAGTTAGAAATATTAATTATCATCGTAAATTTTCATTACTGTGCATAACCTGCATAATCAATATAAAGTACTGTACTCATAAAAAGGTAATGGTTTGTATAAATTTCATAAGCAGATGCATAACATAATCATTTTACAAAAAAATTTTGTTAGAATGAAAAGCTTTGTAGATTATTTTTTGTTATTTTTTATTATTTTCTTTCATCTTTTCTTCTTCCCTTTCTAAAAAATATACATGAAAAATAAAAATATACCAAAATATGTAAATCTGTCCCCACCCTTAGGTTTTCTGTGTGTGATTTACCCATATATGGGCTTGATGGAATCATATGCTCCTTTATATGGTCATGATGATGTCATATCACATCCTTATATGGGTATAAATTGCTGCAAAAGTAAAATATTTTATGTACTTCTTCAGAAATTAAAATCAGTGACCTTCAACCTTCAGGGTACTGATGATGAAATATAATGATAAATAATCGCTTTAATTAATAATTTTACCTTAGTTTTACTAAATTGGAAGCATTTCCGCCGAGATCAATCTTTCGAATAAAATTGAAGTCGCCAACGTAGATGTTGCCTTTTGAGTCAGCAGCGAGCGCAATCGGAGCCCGCATCTTGGCGTCTTTTGCAAGACCGTCACATTGGGTACAAGGCAGACTCCGTAATTTTCCATTACCCATTATAGTGTTGATTACTTTGGGTTCATTATGAAGGAAGATGTGTGAGCCATCACCTCCACTTACGGCACCTGTAATTTAATTAATTACGAAAAAAGTATTAATCAAGATTAACAATATGTTGTGGACAGACACACCGCACTGGTTTACTAGGTAGCTCAGACGTAAAGAGATTTTCAGAAGAGAAGCCACTGTATGAGCTAGTCCACGCTTTGAGTGCTTTGAGCCTCTGGTGCAAAGTGATATATAAATCTAACGATATTACATATACTCTTTGTGATAAACTGTATAATTTACATATATTTGTATATTTAAGTTTCATGGCGAAATCCAGTGTGTTGATGAAACCTTTTCTTATTCTAATTTTCAACTGATATCCAGTAATCTCAATATGCAAAAGGACAACACTTAACAGAGTAAGAAAAAATCCTCTTCGCCAACTAATAGACGCATAAATAATAACATTCATATATTCTGTGCATACACACTTAAACTGACTAACAATCTGTTTAAGAATTTATTGATGTAAGAAGTCTGCGAATAAGCAAAAATTTAATTATACCAATCTCAAATTTCATTGAAAATTCATTGATTCATTTCATTCTTTTAAATAAGCAGTTAAATTGTTTTAATTAAAATTAAGTATAAGGAGAAAAAATATTCTGCAATAAGCATGCACCTATGAATATAAAATTAGAAGCATGGTATTCTAATTAATATTAAATAACAATCAAGTACCTTGTATTGGATTGTAGCTATACAGCATAGGCAGGTTCCATCCAGCAAGGCCTGAGAAGTTGTAATCATAGCCTTGAATTTTCACAGCCTGTTTGTCCCAGAGTATCTTCTCACAGCCCTTGAATTCATAGCCCACTGAAACTGTACAATGAAATAAAGTCAAGTAAAATCAGCTAACAGCAACATTTCTATGGGCCAACTTATTATTTCAACATTTATTATTATTATCTTTACTTTTTTTAAGGCTTTTTCTAAGCAGCAAATCCATTCACAAGACAACATACACAAAAGATGCTCTACGTGTAGACGTAAGTGTCTTTATTAGGCTTAGGGAGTTGAGTTGTTTTGTTCGTGAGAAAAAAAAAACCTGTTACCCTGACAGGATTGAACCCAGGACCCTGGGATTGGAAAGCAAGCATGTAAACAACCAAGCTATTCAACTCCACTCCAATCTTACAAAAGTATTTCCATTTATTAAAATTCTTTACTATACTCACCAATAGCCGTCACCTCGCCGTACACTTTTTGACCGTATGCGTTGGTGCGATTCCAACCAAATGTATACTGAAGATAAGGTTCGGGTTCCAAGCGTTTTTTAAAGAGTTTTCCTTGCACGGAGATGTGGATATGCACAATGATTGGGTCATCTTCTGTCAGGTCATTGGTCAACTGGATGCTAATGGTGCTTTCGTAGTCAGGAGCATCACTGCTGAGGTAGTCCAGGCTGAACTTTGTTTGTGGGATCAAAATTCGTTCATGGACAATCTGCAAAAAAAAAAAAAAAAAAAAATAGAAAGGGAAAGAATTAAAAATCTTTAAAATATTTAGGAGGATTGGTGCATGTGATTTGTGATGTTAACTGTTAAGTGGCTGGTTCAAATCTTATGGTCATTCTCTTGTGTCATTTGGTAACGGCACATCATAATTGTTTACATCCACTGAGGAGTAGGAGTATTAAATTTGTGAATAAGAATACCGCTAAGGGAGTGGAGATTCTACATTGTGCATGTTTGTCAATAATGTTTGACTTTAACAGATAAAAAGCAGTTCGGTGCAGTGGGATCGGTTTGGTTTCCAAACATTGTGGTCATTGTGTTTCTCAACATTGGGGTCAGAGAATTTCCCAACATTGGGGTCAGGGGTTTCAATCCCTAACTGTGCATTTCACTTGTGTCCTTGAGCAAGGCACTTTACCTACATTGCTCCAGTCTACCCTACTGTGTCAATGGGTACCAGCAAATTGCTGGGCCTGCAATAGACTAGTATTCCATGCATGTGGAGTATCAATTCCAGGCTACAGAAACTAGGGATAAGCTGCAGCTCTATGAGCCCTAATGGTTCCCAAACATTTTCTTTACTATATATAGCCCATATTTTAACTCTTTGCGGTCACTGTATACATACACATGTGCAGCATCTTCCCTCCCAGTGGAGTTTGTGCAACTAGCGCACTAACACACTAAATTCATTCCAAGTCATTCACATCTCACCAGGTACTTATCTATGCTCCTGGGAGGATAGAGACACATGAGGATAGAGCACCTGGGGGATAAGAGGAGAAGTGACCAGCCTTGTGCTTGAACTTACGACCTTTTGACTGAAAGATCCAAGCGTTTCTCCTAGGCCAACTGCTTCCGCAATATGGATCCAATCATGTTTTTGCATGATAAGTGGATTTTAAAGGGCACAATATAAAAAAGCCAACATCATTAATTACTAATAATGTGACCAAAACAGATGTAGATACCAATAATGCATAGCGTATGTTGCACACAGCACATCACATGACTTGTATGCAAATCATATTTAATGTTTATTCATTACCTTTCTATCCAACATCACGCCATTCTTACTGCATGCTGCATCAGTTCCAGCCATAGAGGGCAGCACAACAAAGCTAGGCCTGTCATGGTGGGTTCCAAAGCAATTCCGTGCACCAGTGGGAACATCGTCATCACTATCCATCCCGGCTAAGATCATCACAATGTTATCAATGTAAATAAAATCCCCGTATGGAACCAGGATAGCAACAGTGGTCATGGCTAGTGGCTCTCGAGTAAACTGAAGTTGGATGGATCCACCTCCAACAACCAGCATATCAAATCTGGTAAAACAAATTTAAATATCATTAAAACAATATTTTAATATCATAAATACAATATTCCTTTTCCCCAAGTTTAATGTTTCCCTTCTTGTGTCTTCCCTCTTAATTCTTTTTATTATATTTCAATATTATTAACTTGGTATCTGATATTTTTAATCGGTATCAGATAAAAAAAAAATTGTATTTTGTGTGTATTGAATTACATTGTTCTCTATTGTTAGGTCTTTGTAGTGCATAGAATTTTTAATTGTAAATTTGATGCGATTCAGCTATTTGCTGCCAAACAAATATTGTATAAAATTGAAAATTGAGAAATTTATACAAAATTATCTAGGTGCATTAAGATTTGTGGCTGAGTAACCTATAATTACAGTAAATAATTAGGATAGAATAGTGATATTTTTTCCAGAAACTCATCAAATAACGAAAATGATTATCAACTTACATTCCATCATATCGCGTATACGTTCTTCCCAGGGCTGGATTATTCAGAACTGTAACCATGACACCAATCAGAGGACTTCCATCCTCTGTCGTCACCATTCCCCGTACAACAGATGTATGTCTGAAAGGAAATTGGAAACAAAAACTTTGTAAGTCTACCGAGGAATGAATGTCAAATCATTTTAACTTCAGGTGAATACTACAATAATAATCAAACACATTATAACTAAGCCTGCCAAAGAAAAGAGAACAAGTCAAAATTGATCTTTTTGGTCACCTGTGATGTCTTAATAATGAAACTACAGTATTACAATAAATCACAGCCAATACCCTATTTATAAAATGGAAGAGTCCAAAAAGTGTACACACAGACTAACAATAGGCAAAGCTTATTGTGTCTTATACCTGAAAATATAATTTTAATTACTTCACTCATATGTAAATTCACACCCCATTAGAAAAAAATGTAAGATTCCACACAATATAGTTGTTGACAGGTAGAGCCCATTGGGTCTCAAAAATATGATTTGAAAATTAAAGACTAAATTACAGCAATCCAATTTATGTTCATACCCCTGTAGCCAAAATGGAAAAGCCCACATTTTTCACAGACAACATGACTACCTGTGTGTTAGCATCTGTTATGGTAAAGTCGGTTTGTCTGCGGAATCATAATAAATATAGTATACCTTCTCATTATTTTTAACTTACGAAGAACTATTAGCAGTAGACCTACTTAATCATAATTGAGGAATTCGTACCGAAAAATTAATACACGATTTAGTTTTTTACCTCTGAAATATGAAGATATATATCCATGTATTACTTTTTAAGAATTTAAGTATTTACTGCTTTTCTATTGAGGTATTTTAGTATTTAAAAAATTTATCATTAAAAATTACTAATCCAGAAATAAAGAATATAACAATGTGAATAAATTGGTATATAAAGTATGTGAACACTGTGGTCCTAATATGTTGATATATATATATATATGTAACAAGTTTATCTATTTTGTTTCAATAGATACCATAATAAGGTTTGCCATCCCAAAACCAGCGCATCATCGTTGCCAAATGTTAAACTGAGTAATTAACATAAGAATGTAGCAGTATGTACACTTTAATTACAAATAAGCCATAATAATTTTTGGCAAAAAGTAAGTTCATTTCAGTAAATGACCTATCATTTTAAAGCTTATAATGTGTACAATATGAATATTCATATATCAAAAAAGTTGATTTTCTTGTTTTAGCCAACTGATGCTGGTTTTGGCATGGAAAGAAACAATTTCCTAAAAAAGAAATAGAATTTATACTTTTTTTGCCGTTCTTCAATTTGGGCACCGATTTGGACGCTGTTCGGCTGTATCAGAAACTTCATGCGATCATAGAAAGATCTAGACGTTGCTTCCCTTTGCGTTAACCTTACTGTTGGATTTGGGACGGTTCTGCAGATCGAGTCCGTACTGCAAACCGCCCTCATACAACAATCAGGATCCTCACAGTCCATTAGCAAGTCTGGAAAATAACACGGCAAAAATGAGGCATTGAAATTTATGGAATAATTATCCTAGATACCCTCAAGCGAGCAAAGAAAACTTGCGTAAACACTTGACAATTACAACCGAAATATACTAATAAAAATTAGCATAAAATTTACATATTTTGAAGAAAAATACTTAGCTTTTTCAAGGTTGTTTAAATTTTTTGAACAAATGCATTTTTTATACATTATAAATAAAACAAATTATTCAATTATTAACTTTATTAATTTTTATTTGTTTTTCTAATAGTGAGTAACAATTAAAAAACGTAAAAGAATATTTGAACTCAGGGCCCTCCTATAGGTAGGCAAGTGACAGAATTTACTGTAGTTCCCTGGTAAAAGCCCACCCACTTAAACACAAAATTGCCAATTATGGGGCTGGGCATATACTTGGGAAATCACCTTTGCAATAAATTGTTTCATCACTGCGCACCTAATTTAAAGCCATAATTTGATATCTTTGAAAATTTGTAAAAGTCAGCTAAGCTACTTATCTAAACTACAGTGCGGGCTTTCGCCCGGGTAAAGGCTGTGTGTAAAATTGGCCGTAAAGCAGGTGATGGGCTCATACCTGAGATTGACTTATAGAAGGAACTACAGTATAATATCAGGCTAATAATAATATTTATATTTTACACTATACTCTCCTTTGTTTCTGAATAATCTACTCCAAGGCATATAATATAAACAGTGTCATAGTTAATAATTTTACCTCCATCATTATCCATTGTGTCTTCACAATCAAGTTCTTTTGTGATGTCACAGCTTTCACCTCCGAATCCTCGTGGACATATACATTTCCATTCTCCATCCACCTTTTTACAGAGGCCGTTGCCATTGCAGAGAGACGGACAGCCTTCTAAGCTACAGAATTTTCCGTTCCACCCCTGGTCACAAACGCACATATTTCCTTCACAGGTGCCGTGATCACCGCAGTTAGCTGTGCACAATTCTGCCGAACAGTTGACACCGCCCCAGCCTGGCAAACAGCGACATTGGCCCTCCAGGCACTCTCCCTTATTACCACATTCTCTGTCAATTTCACAGTACTGGACCACTGAAGTAAAAAATAAAACATGCTCTCAAAACAAAATTGGTAGACATATCAGTTTTATATTTAGATCTTACAACTACAGTAGATACAATGTATATCAGGCAAAAAAAATGATATCTCAGCAGCCAACAAAATAGTAATAAATTAAAAATATATATCTATAAACTATAAACAGAGTAATTTTCTTTGATCAATCATAAAAAAAATATTCATTTTCATAAAAGAAATCGAAAGGTTTAATCAGGCCTAATGCATGATGAAAACTGAATGAAGATTGCAGAGAAAAAATCTAAATGTGTTTTTTATGATCAGAGCAATATGTTACAACATCAAGTTTAATGACATGAAACGTACAAACAACAATATATAACAAAATAGCAGGGTTAGCAGATGACCAATGAAACTACATCTAATGGGAAAATCATTATAGTTACAGTGCGAGGTTAATTTCATTCATTTTCCCCCTAATATTCTTGGCAGTTTATTTTCAGTTTCCTGCAGAATAGTTTACCATCATTAATTTAAATGTTAAAATCAAGATATTATTATGTGTGGCACAAGCAGGTTAGTGACTAGTCCTACAGATGTTAGTAAACCATGCAAGTCCCCCAAAAAGAAAAATTAACAGCTTGTAACATCCGCCATAATCATATTACCTTTCTTCAAGATATGATCATCCCCATTATCCACAGTGGAATAGTCCGATGATGCCTGAGATGGGCTGGGGCCATAACCAAGTTCAGTCACCCAAGGGGTGTTAGGCGGTTTTAAATGTGCTGGGCCAACCAACACATTGGTCAGCTGACCATTGTAAACTGAATTTGAGGTGATCTCACCCTGGGCTTGTTTCCCAGGGTTCACCGGTATGTGGCATCTGGTCCCGGTCCACCCTGGGTGACAAGAACAAATGGCCTTTTGGCATATTCCATTACCAGAGCAGGTATGCTCCATGCAATCAGCTATGTAAGCGGAGGGGAGAGAGTAGAAAAAAAGCCTGAGCTAATAGCCAAAGAATATTAAGTAAGTACTAATGGGTTTAAATGGAAAAACAACATGCAATGAAAATGACAGAGGAATACTACAAAAAATTGCACCAAACCAAGCAACATATTTAAAGCCAAACTTAAAAATCAACATGTTTCTTCTTTGTCCCACAATAATTTATCCCCTCCCCTCATTTTTTTTCCTTCAATTTCACTGGCCAAATGACCAAGAAAATTGGGCAAAATTGAAAATACTCTATTTAGCAATGAGTATCTATGTGTTTACCCTGGCACAGGCATAGTGGTATGATTGTGTCTCATGGACATTTTTTTAAGGTGAAAATTAGAGGGTGGAACCACATCCTTCGTATTTTTTCCAAGAACTGGAATGAGAAACATGTTTATTTTTTTGTTTGGCCTACTGCAATAATTTCAGCAAAAAATAACAAAATTGAGGCAGGAACAACATGGAATGATATATTATGATGACTAAACCATCTGTAAACAACATTAACAATATAATAATTTTGATGGACAAATGATAGCGTATTAAGAGCATATGATGCAAGACAGCCATGCAGTACAAAAATATTATTTTACATATATTATACCGTGCCAAGAATAAAAGCATAGCATCGGACTATATATACTGGTATTAATGATCTTTAATTTATATTAGTGAACCTAGAAATATTGGTGTGTTATTACAAAACAAAAATTTAAAAAAAATATAAATAAAAATACATAAATAAATAAAAAATAAATAACTATAAAATAAATAAATAAAAGTGACGGTATTCTATACTTCACAGTGAAAAAGAAAAACAACACAAAATTGCATATAATTTGCAAATTTTGTATGTGTTATGCTTATTATAAACTAATACTTCCTATGTTTTATTTGTAAATTATCAACTGGTAAAACTATTGATATCACTGAATTGACTTTCACAATAAAGACAGAAATAAATACTTAAATTAGTGGATAAACACAAGAAAAAAATGTAATTAAATAAAGATATTATAGCTTATTATACTTGGTAGCACTACATAAACTTTACAGCTAAAAAAAAAGACACAAAACTATTTATAAAAAACCATAACAAATTTTGATTTTACTTCTACTGTATATGCTCATTTTAACAATGCATCCAACTGCCAACAAAAATTATAAACCATACACTATCATCTTCCATACTCACACCCATTAGCAACACCTACATACAAAATTAATCACAAACCCACGCATTTACTTCAAAAACACTTCAATTTTGGCATTAATGTTTGTCTCTTGTATCTTTTTAATCTTTTTGTTCCATAGATAACTAATCTTAGAAGATTTGCAATTAAAAAAAGTATATGTCAGTTACACAAATGCGTAATTGATACAAATGAGAGGTAATACAATAAAAAAAAAGCTACATAACATATATAGTATGGCTCACATAGGAGGCAGTCATGCAGATATGGGGGTATGTGGCAAGCTACTAAATTTGATGACTGAATGTATATAGAATAAAAAATCCATGCAACAAAATGTGACGACAGAATAATTTGCGCGGTATATATATATATATATATATGTACCTTCTTGACAAGCGGGGCCGCCAAAACCCTCATTGCAGACGCAAACGCTGTTGATGCATCTACCGTTTCCGCTGCAATCCGGGTCAAGGCACCGATTCTCTTCAATTTGACACTCGGCACCCGTCCAACCCACGTTACAGTGACACACCCCATCATGAAATTTCCCGTGAGTGCTACATAATATTGGGCAAATACCTGAAATAAAGGGTAATTTACTGTAGCTAACACTTAGTGCAATATGCTAACCTAGAAAATAAAACCATTCTTATCAAATAATCCATAAGTTTTTTCTATACTGTCTTCATGTACTTTTTCTTAGCTACCATCGTATAAATCATATAAAAATTGATTTATCTATGAAAACAGCAATAAAATTATGCTATTTATCAAGGCATGTGTACTTTTGGAGTATCTGTATGGCAGTTTGCCAAGTCCTATTAATATGGGATTTTAATTACAGTTAAAAGTACATATTTCTAAAGTGCAGGGTAATTTGTATACATTGCCATCATACAATAAAAAGAATAATCAAAAGTACATAATGTGATCCAGTAATTTAAATCGAAAAATGATTTTCAATTATTTCGTAATGAATATATTCCTGAATAACAATAAAATGTTTTTATAAAAATGTAAGTGCTACTAAGTCAAGCTAAATATTGTAAGAATTCTGGAAGTACAGTTACCCAAGTAGGAAACACTAATCTAGATAAATAAATGTAGCAACTCACCTTTCAAACAATCTTCGCCTGTATACGTAGGAAAACACTTGCACTGACCGTCCACACATTGTCCATTACCATTACAGTCATTCAGGCACGGTATGCCTCCATCACCTAACAAAGAATAGTTGTATGATTTTTTATAATTTGTTGAAAGATTGTCCCATACAAAATACCAAAACAAAAATTTCATAAAAATCATTTTTGGTTTTAACTTGCTCATTTTGAAGTAACATAAAAAACATCTTGGACATAGAAATTAGTGTATTTAAAAAATAATTCAAAGCAAAGAAACACATTTTGTTATTATTTTTACCACTATCCAGTATAAAAATCGTGTTACACATTTATTAAATTTAATAATTACTATGCTCAAGTTTTTGTATGTTACCACCAAATGAGCGTTTAAATTCAAAATTTGTTTTAATGATTTTTTGTCATTTTTAACGGACAATAAACCTTGAATAAACATAATGAATCTTATAATAATAATAATAACAATAATAATAATGATGATAATAATAATAATAATAATAATATATAATTAGAAAATGATAATAGCAACAACAATAACACTAACTATTAAAAACAATAATGAAAATTAAATACAAACACAACAAACCTTTAACACCAGACACAAATTTAACATCTTCTGTTCGTTTTCCATCGTTAAATATTCCAATATACCAGGAACCCTCGTCCAAGAATTCAATGAAAGAAAATATCGTTTTAGCAGCCATGGATCTTTCCTGTCGTACAGCAAGAGTCTTCCCTCCATGCCTTTTTCGATTCTCCTCAGGGTGATGGTGACTGGAACTTCTTCCAAAAATTGCACTGTTTTTTAATGTATGACGCCTACTCCGATCATGGAGGTAACCCCTCCCAGAATGCACCTCAACAAAATCGTAAACTGTGTGTGTAGGAGGCCCTCCTCTTCGTCCGTACACAGCCAAAAACGCATGATGACCCACAGTGAGGTTCATTTGGACATATTTTGGATGGTCAATTTGCATAATAATTTGTAAAAAGTCTCCAGATTGTACAGGTTTTCTGATATGCTGGCCAAGACGAACACGCTCAGCCACTAAAGGTAATGAAGTTGGATCTGAAAATGAAAAGAAAAAAAATCATGTAAAGGTAATAAAATTGGAAATAAAAAGTTTAACAATCAATAAAAATAATTATTTCTACTTAATATTAGGCGATACTATTTTAATACCTTGTTTCACACACTTTCTTTAAAGACTGTCAGAGCAGGCCAGGAAAAAAAATTGGTTTTTTTTATTTAGCAAATAGTTTATGCCAAAACATCCAGATGGAGGAGAAAATAAAAATAAAATTTTATTGTTGGTGAATGTAAACAGTTAAGTAATGGGATAGTTAAATGCTTTAAATTTATATAATTAGGAAGAAATATACATATTTTACTTTTGGAGAATTCAAGGCAAAGGCAGGCATAAATTTTAAAAAAAAATTGTTCCCAGAAATTTTAATTTTTTCGTTGTGGCAGGTGTGCTAATTGCCCAAAAATTATTTTTATTCAGAATAAATATTGGAGAGTGGCGGGTTCGCTAAACAAGGTATAAACAAATTCTCAACTTAGGCTGCTAATATGAGGCCAGTCTGAGGCTGCTTCAAGCTAAAGTTTGGTTCTCGCGATGTACCCTGTGTACATTTGCAATTATTATCTGGGAACCAATTCAACACTGACCGAAAGTTGACTGGCTAGTGGCCTGCAACTATGGTACTGTATGTTAAGCCCTGTACAGCCTATCAAATTTTATTTGACAACAAGTGAAATGCTTAAATATGTCCATGATGACATCACAACATGACCATATATAGGTACATCATGACTATATATGGGCATACAATTTGATAATCTGGACAGAGCTTTATATGGTGCACAATCAGAAATTTATTATTGATCGGAAAATATAAATTCTCTTTTTACACCATTTTCGCTAAATTTGTGGGGACATCCAGAGGCCTAGGCATTTCGCTCTACATAATGACCAGTGTTCATCTGTACTCTGTGACTGGTGCACAAACGTGTTGTTGTAGAGGCTTAGGTTAGTTTTTGAAAACAAAATGCCAAAAAAAAAAACAAAAAAAAACAGCAGTGTTTTTGGTTGTTAAAGTACTCAAAAGAAGATATGTGACTGGAAAAACAAAATTTGCTCATGCTAGGCAGCTGGATGTCCCCCAAAAAATAAAAAAATAAAAAATAAATAAATTAATTAATTAAAAAATGAGTTGCAAAAATCAAGAATTTCCTGCCCTCACCTGGTAGATTTGTTGGCCCTCCAACAGGGGTGTAGTACCCTGGGTTATCTGTTTTAGCTCCAACAGCTATTACTGGGTGTGTTTCTGGCTGAAAGAATTTCACAGCTGTGAAGAAAATTAAAATTAAGTACACTATTAATTTCCTTTATGTATCCTATTCTCATTTTCTTGTGTACTGATTCAAACTGGAGATTCTGCAATTTTTTATGATGATAGATTTGTCCACTGAGGAAACATTCCTTAAACTTGTTTTAATAAAAGTTCAGCGATTATAAATTTGGATATCATGAAGTACATAAGACTTAAGGTTTTAATGTGCTTTTTTTAAAAATACTTTTTTTACAGTGTCACTCAAACTGAACAACTAACCAATTAGAATAGAGCCAGGCATATCCTACAAATGCATGTGTTTTCCCACAAACATGTTTACGTACGTTTACGCCGTCATAATTTTGTGGGACCTTCGCAACAATATTTAAAATGTGGGGCTTAGCGAAATGGTTCATTGAACTAGGGATTCAAGGATCTCTCTGGTTCAGCACACATCTAGAGGCTAGTGTTTGGGGAAGTGGTTTGGTACAGCAGGAACGGTTTGGTTTCCCAACTTTGAGGTCTGGGTTTCAATCCCTCGCTGCGCATTTCGCTTGTGTCCTTGAGCAATGCACTTTATCTACATTGCTTCTCTCCACCCCAGGTACCTGGTGTGGTTGCCTGCTACTGTGTCAATATGGCAGCAACACTTAAGCATGTGGACCCAATGACCAGGGAACAGGCACTATATAAATACTAAAATAACAAATAACAAACAAATAGCTCAGCAAACTGAGGTATTCTGCTCTAGGCTATTCAAACGATTTTTTTTTAATTACTTATAATTAAATTGATTCAATTGTTGTTATTTCTGCACAAAGTTAAAATATATTTTCTTGTTAAAACATTCTTTTGTGTGTTATTTCTGCACAAAGTTAAAATATATTTTCTTGTTAAAACATTCTTTTGTGCATAACACATATTTCTTTATTTTTTTTATTATACCTTACTTTAGATATGATCACCTTGGTTATTATAAGTCAATTTGGATGCAAAGTTAACGAGCTTAAGAATATTTAGCCTCAAAACCAACATAGAATTACTGTGTTAAAAACGCCTTAGAGAAAACATTATCTACAATGCAACATCGAATAACAGTCAGAGTTGGTGGGAAACTCTCATTCTAACATCTTTCGCATGTCTTATTTTCTTAATTACATAACATATATCATATCCATATACATCCTAGTCGATTTTTATGGTGAAATCTATCTGGAGTGTAGTTTAATATTTTACGCCTAGCACACAGCGCTTGTTTATTACGGCTTGAAATGTCATTTTCTGCTGCTGGTGGTTTTTTCTACTTATCGCAATGTCATCTATCTCCCAGGGTGCATGTACGGTAGATAAAGCTACACAAATCATTATCGTTAGACAAAAGAAAAACAAACATTGATTTATTTTAAATCATTCCAAACCACCGTAGTACGTCGCTTATGACACTATATATCTTGCTGAATGGGTTTCTATGAACTTAAAAGCTTCGGCACAAGGATTTGGGAGAATTTACATGAAAATACATATTAATGTAAAGAGTGTTTACAGGTTAACTTTGGCTGGTAGCCAATGAAACTGATTCAGCTCAAATGTATACCAACTACAAACTGCACAATTTCATATTCCAGTACGATAAATAATCCCACAGGATGATGTCAGAGCTACAGTGTATGTATGAATGATCAACATGATCCAACATGGTCAATCATATGATAGAATGTTCAGGATTTTTTCAACAAGCATAAAATGAATAATATACTAAAAGGGTGTGAATGGATAGGCCTATCAAGAGACAACACTACCCCAGTAGGACTGGGGGAATTCCCCCACAAAATGTTTGTTTTGGGCAATCAGAAATTTCTTTTTTCATTCTTTCTTGTTCTTTTTCTTTATTTTCCAAAAGTGGGAGAGTGGGGTGGGGTGTGGCTTGGCTTCCTCTAAATCTGTTCCTGCATCCTCAACAAGAAATTTATTTATACTGGAAATAAATGCCTTACCTGTTAAACAGATGAGAGCTGCTATTAGTGCACAGACTAGAATAAAGAGAACTACCGCCATACACTTCCAAGAACAATGGTCCCAACACGAGTACTTGCTTTTAATTCGCCTGTATTTGGGTTGTGCAAATTTGTTGTTCTTTGGTCTGTTGTCATTGCGTACTGGAGTGAAGCTGGGCAGGGGGACGGCAGCAGTCGGGGAATTCGGAGGAAACTCGTACATATGTCTGGAAATACTGTTGGAGGAAAGATATATGAGAATGTTTCAAATCATGATTCTTATCCAGGATATTGTTCATGGGTAAATGAGACTTTTTCATATTAGGGGCAGATCCAGAGATGTCCAAAAGGAGGGGCCGGAAGGGGGATTGAATGTTGGGCCGATCGCGATAACAATACCCTAGGGAGTCCAGGGACATGGCCCCGCGAAACTGTGTTCTAGACACCCGAAAATAACCTCTGAGGCCTTTTGGGCAATCAATTTTTTCTTTTTCTTTCTTTTTCTTTTTTGTTTTGTTTTTTTTTACTTTTCAAAAGGAAGCCCCCCCCCCCCTTTAAATCTACCCCTGCATGTCCCAACACAAGATTTGTTTTCTTTTCTTCTCAGGTCTTTGCCTTCTGTTTTTTGGGTTTTTTTTGCATTTCTTACGATTAACGGTATATTATAAAAATCATCACTTTTTCGGTTACAGTATAATCTTTTATGCGGAAAGAAAGCAAATAAATGTTAAATTGAATTTTAGACAAAGACAGCCTCTACATAAACAGAGTACTGCTACTATACACAAGTTATATATAAAGGCCTTTAGCCAAGCCTAACCACATTATATATTCATTATTTAAAAAAGAGGCTGGGAGTTTTTAAATTATTATAGAAACAGTTAACAGTGAATTTAATCTAATTTTAAAACAAAGAAAAAAAAAATAATCTAAGGACTATTTTCTGGAAGCTGTATAAGCTTAAGCCTGCTGTTGGCCACAAATCTTTGGACCAAAAAGGAAAAGTAATTTTCTAACCATTTTTTGGGGCATAATAATAATGTTTAAACATGTCCAAAATTTACTAGCTACTCTAAGCATTAGGAGTCAACCCCTCTGAATTAAAAGCCTTTAGGCCATGGTCCCTGGATCCCACTGGCCTTCAACGGAAATGTTCAGACCCCCTGTCAGACAGTTAAGCTCCCCTCAATATATAACACATTTATACATAATCTGTCTCTTATACACATCTAGATGTGTATAATTCCTAGAAAAGGAGCAGAGTGCAAGGCCAGATGGAAATTTTAATACGCCAAGACATGTTTAGAGTGTTACCATGGTTACTACCAACTCGCATCATTGGACATTTTTAGTTTTGATTAAATTTTCAATCACATATAATTTTACTCAGCTTACTTGTATTTCAAATTATTAAATTCTGATTATAAAATATAAATTAACAATTATTAACTATTAACTTAATTTGATTTGCAAACATGTAAATCAGATATTAAACCAGTATTTACATTATGGTTTCAATTACAAAAAAATAAATAAATAAATAAAAAAAAAAATAAAAAAAATATTTGGTTGCTACTGTTAATCCTATCAAGACTATCACATTTTTTTGACATGCCTAATATGGTCATGATGACATCACATCATGACCATATATAGGCACATCATCACTATATAAGGGCATACAACAGTGAATGTGGACATGGCTATCCTTGACAGCTTCCCTTGGTTTTAACTTTTTTACAAATGGATTAATTTTTCACTCTACGTTTTTATGTCCTCAAATTTTTTTTTGTCTAAATACAAGAAGTGTAGTAACTGCCGATCAGTTTGCAGCTATATTTTTCAGAACCTGTGCAAATATGTCCATTTTTCTCTCTGGATTTCAAAGATCTGAGATTTTTTTCCCATCCAAAAAGCTGGATTTGCAAGCCTCTTATTTGTTAACACCTGTCCTAATTGACAGGTTTATTCTTATAAGCATATCTAACAAAGACTTACCTTTGTGTTGACATTGAATATTCTTCTAATCATCCACAATAATACATTAATTAAAAATCTACTTCACAGATAATTCCCTTTTAATCTTGTGTGAAATAAGGATAGTGGTTGGCTTTATGCTGCCAGTACGATATCATTCCCCCGACTGATAATCTTTATATGCACGGCAATTTACGGGAGCATAAATAGACAATTTTGTATTGATGTTTGAAATAAACAAAAGCGTCCACAGACACTTTCATCTACACACTTCAATTCCATCATTCGAGGGAGAAACTCGGCCTAGGGGCATCATTTGGTATGTGATGCCAAATGCGTTGATGAAAGTCTCGCATGCAAGCCTATTTTTGCATAGATTAATACTGTTTAAATGTATGTGGTACAACTACACGGCACTTACAAAAGAGGATTAAATCTCACCCATATATTTTCTTATGCTTTCTTTAAATAACATCATTTGTAATTGGTCTGTTTGTAACTTTCCTAAATTCTTTTATGAGATGAACTTGGTTAATTAAATGCACTCAATCATTTTTAAAGACATGATTTAGCCTTTAAGCAAAATATTAAAATTCATGTCACAAATAAAGGAAATTTGCCCATATATGGGTATGATATGACACCATCATACCCATATATGGGTATGATAACATCATCATATCCATATACGGGTATGACATGACATCACCATGCCCATATATAGGCAAATCATATATATTTGTCATAGGAAACTCATAGTAAGGACAGGGCATTATACAATCATAATTTGATTGATGATAACTTACACACTACGCGTTTGTATACAGATGTTTTTAAATATATCGGGGTGGATTTCATAAATAAAATAGCAATTTCATATTGTAAATCAAATCTGAGGTGAGATAAGCACTGATTATACCCAGTACGTGACAATACAGGCAGGAATTTACATATTTACATTATATGTTTTTTTGCTAGTTGATTGTGTAGGCTATTTTCAGACCTTCCGACAAATCAAATAACAACCTTGATTCATTCTCGTGGAATTGCTTTTAACTTCCATTAGAACGAGAAATCCAATCCAATGATCTGATAAGCCAAAGGTCTCAATTTCCTTTACAATTGTTGTTCTGATTACCATTTCGTACTCACTTGCCAATATTTTCCACATTTATTCCTCACATTTTTGCGATTACATCATCTACATAAAATGTATCTGGAATTTGAGCCGTTTTTACAGGGACATTCAACCGAACGTAGTGCTAAAGTATGCAAAAGTTTCAAATCCATCAGAGACAATACGCGGCGAGATAAACGTATCACTATCATCATTAAGCATGGCATATTACTTCAAAGAAGACTCTGGTAAAGAAGTAATTGTGATACCTGAGCTATACTTAATCTGCTGACTTACCTTGTCTGTCTTGAGTTACTGAGGGAGTTGTTGCTGTTGAACATGGGGTTCGGACCTGGCTGCGGGTAGTTCAAATTAACAGCTTCGGGTCTAATTTGAATATTTTGCTTTCCCTCAACTGGTATACTTGGAAGCGCTGCGAAAGAGGAAACACAGATACCCTTCATTTTCTATAAGTCTGATAAGTAAAAGATTCAGTTAATTCACACAAACACTTTATCGTCCTAATAGCTCTCTGAATTCTGAACGAATGAATTACATTGGTGTGATTCTTAGCATATGATCCTTTCCTATAGTCAACATGACATGTCTGTGCAACAAACTTTACAAACAATAAGATTTGTCATGGCAATTTCACGAAGGAATTAAATGAAATGTTGACCTTGACATTTCTTCACAGGAAAAAAATTTCTCGTGGGAGATGTTCAGAAAAACGATTGAAGCTTGTGTAATACCGCTAAAAGCTTCTTCTTACCAACCGTAAATGTTGCAAACTGCTATGCAGATGATAATTATTGACTACATGATTACCTACAGATCAGTAATGCTATTGCTATGCAAAATACATCTGGCAGATTTGGCTAAACTTGGTACTTTAGTGTTTTTCTTTCAACTTAACATGCAAGTACTGAAACACCTAAGTCTATCCAACTTAATTTCTCTTATTAACTGCTATGTTTCTATTTGACATTAGAATTTTTTTTTTAAATAACCTCACCTTGATTTTGAATAAAGTTATTTTGTGGCATTGTGTTTGACATCTGTTTCATCTGAAATGCGTTCTCTGCCGTGTTGCCTGCTTCCATACTTGAAATCGTACTGTGACTCGACCTAACATTTGATAGCGTTCCCGGCGCTGACCTTCCGCTTGATATAAGACTTGATGCAGATCTATCTGCTACGATATTCGGTCGCATCATATGCTGACGTCCGAGTGAGTGCCGGGATTGAACAGCTGATGGTATACCTGAAGTATACAATAAGGAAAAATATGAAATTATCATGCAAGTTCGTGGGTAACAGAATATGATATTTAAAGAAAGCAGGTCTATTTTCCTGAAACTGTCATGTTAAATAACATTACATCTACACCAATGCAGTGAAGTTCTGAATTAACCCAAGCTTTTGGATAGAGTTTGAATAGAATTGAAAAAGATTATAATGTTTGTCAAAGGACATTATCCCACTAAAAATAAAATATTACACATACCATACTAATAACAACAATAATATTTATTAATAATAACAATAATAAAATTGAAATAATAATAATATTTATTAATAATAATAATAATAATAAAAATATTTATTAATAATAATAATAATAATAATAATAATAATAATAATAATAATAATAATAATATCTTAGTCTAAGCACAAAATGCCCAGTCTTTTATGCCTTCATATTTTTACACCAATCATTTACATCAAGCACTAACGGAGCACACACTCAGCTCTAAGGGGAATTATTCCTAAAGTTGCCTATAGTAAGTAAATTAGTATTCTAACAAGTTAACACAGATAACCCAAGTCCACATAACTGACTAGCTTCAAACTCGAACCCCCAATCTTTTGATTAGAAGCCTAAGCATTGCCACTGCTCCATAAATACTCCCAATAAAAAAAGCAATAAAGTTTATAACCAGCACACATAAAGTTAGTAAATAATAAAAAATGATAATAAAAGACATTAAAAAATATAATCATTTGAGTACACTTTTTTGTATCAACAGTAGTGCCTATAATGATAGAAATAAGAGCGATGATATATCATTATGAGAAAACTCATTACAATGAAGAAATAAATCTAACGGTTATTATCAAAAAGGTAAAGACAATGCTATAAAATCATGTGATACATTAATTTTACATCAACAGCAGTGCTGGTGGAGATGGATATAAGTGAGAAAATGTATCATAATTATTACAAAAAATAATGATGTAAAAATTACATATTACACACTGCCTCTACAAACTTTAGAACAAATTGTACAACAAAAGAGCGAGAAAATGTGGTCAACTTAAATAATTATCAGAGTGATAATAATTATCATTATTTTATAACAGCAGCAACAGTAATATAAATTAATAATTAATATAGATTAATAATAATAATAAATACCAAAAGAGTATTTTATCTAATTCAGTAAAGAATTTTGAATTTTTATGTATTACCTAATAGCATTATCCGCCGAGAGTTATGTCATTTTGTGTAATATTTTCACGTAGGCAAGCTGGGTTTTACGAGAGAAATGAATACAGATTTACAGATTTAAATGTCCGTGAAAAAATGTCAGTTATAACGACTCTGAACTTGGCGTTAATGCACCTGATAAATTCCAGTGTTGGAGATGAATGCTGAACAGGCTGGAATTAACATGCAGAACTTAAAATTTCATTCTCTTCTCACAAAGAAAACATTTGTGCTTATCTTGTAATGCAATGTGACTGTTTAACATTCCCAAAACGATGCAAAAAAAAAAAAAACCTAACATTCTGTTTCAATAAATAAACAAATTTTTCTTTGAAAGCAAAAAAAAAAGATGGATACATTGAACATGCATTTCTCAAGGGGTTCTTGAAGAGAACATTCAACATTTCCTTTATGAAATTTGAAAAACATAATTATAAAACTTGGTCTTTACAAAAACAATCAGACATGCATAACTTAAACTTGTATTATATTTGCAGTAAGAAACAAATTGTTCCAGCAATTGAAATATTAACATTCCTGAACGAAGCAAGAAACTAAACATTCCATATTGATAAATTAAAAAATGTCATGATGAAAAATAATAAATGTGGAAATATTGAACATATGTTTCTCATATGCAGTGCTTTATATAAATGATATGAATTGTGATTTAAAAAAATATGATTTTGAAATCCAAATTAATTGTATTGGTCCTTGCAGAAAACATCTAATAAACATAAAAGGCCGTATTCGACTGGTCATTCTTCATATTTGTTAATTTTGTCTCAAAAATTATTACGAAGACGACCAGACGAATGGCAATCTAAAGAAATACAAAACCCTGACCTGCTTTATCAAAATTGTTTCTGTTTATTTCATTACTAGAGAGATTTCTGAGATTTTATTTTAGTCACTTAAAAATCAGTAACACCCTTATACTAAATAATAGTACAGTAATTATAATAAATAATAATAATTCTAGATTTATATAGCACCTCACATTGACACAACCTCGAGGCGCTTAACAACAACAGAGAAGAAGAAAAATTAATTAAGTTCAAATGATTGGTTTGATGTTAATTTTTTGTTTTGGTCATGAATGCATCCATTAGCAAGTTAGCTAATAATAATTATTTGGGCCAATCTTGACTTACATAAATAAATGGCATCAACAAAAAAGTAAAATATAAGATTTAGTTTGTTTATTACTTTGCTTAAATTCTGTTAAATTTTTGTAAGAATGTATCCCAGTTTATGAACATCATCGTTCTAATAGTGCAGAACCATTAAATAAAATTTACTGTGTGTGTATTTTTTGATGGTCAAATAAATAAATGAAATGAAGGAATGCATGAATATGCATGAATGAAAAGAAACACAACAAAGAGGCTGCGTACATACCACAATTCAAAGTAGCATAACCCAGGTCGTCTCGGCCTATTGCAAGCGGGTTAAAGTGTAAAAAAATATTTTAAATAGATTTTTGTTTGTCAATCATTTAAAATTAATTTATTCATTTAATTTATATATTCTCTAAAATATATAAATTGTTTTTAGTCATTTTCTCTGAGAAATCAGCCATGTTGTGTTATGATCACATGAAAAACTTATTCGAAATTAATACATTCTTGTTTACTTCCATTCTGAACAGAACCAGAACAAAAATTATAAATGATTAAAACAAAACACAATGTTAACCAAGAAACGAACCAGTCGAATACAGCCAATGTTATACACAATCTATCCTGCAATAGGATCTAATTTTTTGGCAGGTTTAACGGTTTAATGTATCGCATGTAATAAAAAATTTTACCTGATAACCCATCTTCCATCTCCGTCTCTGTAAGTGTTAGGCTGGATCTGCTGCTCCGCCCACTCTCTGATTGATCCTCTCGATTTGTATGGTGCCTAACTTGTTTCTAAAAACAAAGAACAAATTTAATTAAAATAAACCAAAGGTTTAATGTATGATTACACTCGGCTATTAAATAAATTCAGCATACTGCACTGAAATCTGCATAATTATGTATTTGTTTAGCAAATGCTAAATCCATCAGGTATTTACAGTATGGTATAAATTGAAATTACACATACCTATGATGTTTGTGCATTTATATGACTCATTTTGAAAGCTTGAGGGTAACGCTCCCCCTAACCTCTGTCGATGTTAGGACAATAACATAACATTGTGTACAATATTATTCGATCAAAAAGACGCTGAAAATATTGTCATTTAATTGACAGCAATTGTTGAACATTGTACACTAAGTTACTATAGCTAGATTAACCTTTGTTTCAACTCGTTTCAATCAAACCCTGGATAAATCGTCAAATTATATAATGAAATATGTTTTGTGCATGCTTATTATCTGATCTTTAAGCAATGTGTAAAATGTTGGCGCAATCCACATGCTTAACGGTTTGGTCGCGAGTTCAAATCTCACCCTGGTCATTCACTTCTTATTCACTGAACACGGACCTTGTTGTTAATCAAAGTTTGAATGCCAACTTTGAACCTTGCTTTTGCTAGAATTTCCAAAATGTTGAAAATCTTTCTTTGGTAAATGCATGTACAGTATTTCGCTGATAGCCTATTTAATAAATTGATCTTTTGAAGTGTCAGTAATGCTCGGAAGGCCTTTGTGCGCCAACATCGTTGATAATGTCAGTGCACAAAGGGTAAATTGACAAAGAAATACTCAATTATTAGTAACAAAGAAGCAAGTAATTAAACAGTGTTTGGTAAATTCAGGAAAATTCAACAAAATTCGGAAGACGAGGAGACTACATAAAAATTAGGGATATTCCTGGCGGGATTTGGAGAGTTGGATGAATAAGTACAAGTCCTTCATAGACTCAAGGTACTTGACATGTAATAATTATACATAATAAAAAATGTATCTGCCTAGCTGGTAGACAGAACAATACATAAACCTCAAAAGGGCTTGTTTTCAAAAATTCCACCAACTGTCACACATCACAACAGTATGGAAATATAACAATATGGGGTATATAACAAAATAGTAGAAGAAAAGTATAAATGTGTACCTAGATTAATGTATTAACATTTAACCAGGTACCCTTGAGGTGTTCTACTGTCTCCTGAATACAGCATTAATGAGTGTTTGGTTGGATGCCAATGTTTTTCTCTTTCCATCCATGATTATAAGTGAGTACCTTGTATGATTCACATGTTCAATGTGTAATGTATTTAGTAATATACACAATATCACTGCATGACTAGGAATACAGTGCTCCCTGGGGGGCATAGGTCATTGTATATGATTGTCACTGTTTCCAATGTTCAGGAAATAATGTGAAGCATTATGAAATGTTTAAACATGAAAATATTGATATAATAATGATAACTTTTTATATAAAGTTTTATATTCTTACGTGCTATATTTCTCATAATTGTAAATTTGTATTGGATTTACTATAACTATAATTTTTATACCTGTTTAAAAAAAATGTTGTTTTAATTCAATTTTACATTGGTTGTATCATTTTAAAATATCATTATCTTGACTAAATTAAAAGCTTTCAGCCAAAAAAATTAAATTATTAAAATAAAATAACATCATATAAAAAAACAATACAAATTACACAAACTATACTATAATTGTCACTGAAAACACCTTCACATGTGTCACATTGTTTTATCATCGAGGTAGTTTCTGTTATACAACCATTGTTCTATCATGGAGGTACTTTCTGTTATACCATTATGGTTTGATGACCTATGCTTTGGAGTAAATTGGATCTAAAATCTGATTGAGTATGATTAAAGGTGAACATAATTCCCATGTGAAATATCCCTTAGTAGGTGAAATTCTAATTATTAGCCAAAGCCTGGGAATGCTCCACCCATCAGGAGGTGATGAGTGAACAACACACAAAGAAAATTCCACTTTATTTTTGAGCCATCAACACCACTGATCATTAGGCCTAATTTGCACTCCTATTTAACTACTTTTCATGGTTGTTTGTAAAAACAACTGGATGAAGATGGAATAAGTGGATGGGATGAGTGATAAAGATCCATTGATAGTTGATTTTGAACCAGATCTTTTCTTTGTCAAAAGTTTTAACAAAGTTGAATAACCTTAACTTTGCATGTCAAAAACAACAATGAAATATGGTAAACTTTGAACCAATGCAACTACTGTAAGTGATGAAAGAAGTCATATTCTGGAAGATTTGCCAGAAATATATACTCCGGATTCTAGAATGAGTAGGTGTAAAATACCTCCATGTTCCATGTTCATATAAAAAACGTTTTTTGTTTCAAGGAGAAGATGATAAATCTATCATTCAATTTGAAGACACCATGAATGATTGTAAACTTTGAACTGTGGCAACATACAGAGGAACTAGAGGTGAAACATGTCTTCTTCTCGAATACTTGCTAAAAATATCAATTTCTTGTAGCAGAAAAAGTGTAGTATTGTAAGCTTCAAGCTCAGGTCAATAAATCTATCAATGGATTTTAAGAAGTTGTGAAAGATGGTGAACTACTGAACCATAAAAAATGAAGAAAGAGAAATGGGAGAATCTGGAATTTCTAGAAATGTTGAATTGAATGTTGTAAGTCAATAAATCTACTATTGAATTTTAAAAGAATATGAAAGATGATTAACTCTGAACCTTGGGCATATGAGGCCATGACCTAAAGTATACTCCGCTTTATAATATATACAAGAAATATATTTGAGATCAACAACATAGAGGTAATCTGGTGATTTAGAAAGATCATTGAATGTGAATGAGTCAGACTAGGAAGTAAAAAATGTTTTCTGTTTTAACAAAGAAGAAAATTAATATTAATCACAGCTTAAAATACCAATAAGATAACCACTGAGTTTATATTATATATTTTTAGCCACCTAAGGGCCATTAAAAAAATGATTAGTTTATCACCCCCGTACGCATGTCTTCTATGATACTGGGGGAAAAAAAAATTTCTTTGAAAAAATTTAAAAAAGAAAAAAAAAATTTTTGTTGAATTTTTTTTTTTTTTGAATTTTATTTATTTATTTTTTTCATTTATTTTATTAAATAGTTAGTAGATATTGTTTGCATTATCTGAATCATGTTTTACTTTGAATATCAATGCACCAGCAAACAACCCAAGGGTGATATTTGGCTTTAGCAACATAAAAAATTTTAAAAAAAAACCTCCCTCCCTCATCACTTTTCCTGCCCAGATAGGGTGATAAACTAATAATATTTTTTATAGGGCCTACACTATGAAAAATCTATATTTTCTAAACAAAATTCTATACTTTATAGATATAATACATTGCCTCTTGAGCCAATAATAAATTTGAACAATCAAATTCATTATCTGAATTGCATACTTTGTAAATGTCAGTAAGTTCTTAAATATAAATTGAAACTGAACATCAGGAAATATTAATAGTAATGTAATGTAGTTGTAGATTTATATAGTGCTTTATACCAACGGTATTAAAGCATTTGAAGAGTGGACTGCTCCAATAGTAACTTGCTATTGGGCCTCTTTGTGTATGAGATACCCACAACATAATATAATGCTACATTATTCAGCAAACTATTAGTATATATTCTTTAAATAACTGGCAGGTAATAACAAATCTAAGGATAAAAAGTATGTAAATTATCAAGTGAATTTTTTTTATCTTTTCTTTTTTGGAGCTGATAACACAGAAACTTTAAATGATAAATTCAATATTTATACCATAACTTTATATTTTAAGGTTTTCCAATTTATACGTCAGACAGTATATTTTTAGTATTACAAATGACATAATTTTTTTTCCAAACTATTCCTTATTTTACTACTAAAGAAAGACTCCATTATGTTAACCCACATATCTTAGGATACTTCATCATCTTTTTGGTATTTCATCAGGGGGAGGTGATGATAGGGAAAGTGAACAGCCCTTTCAGAAGTTGGACACTACATCATTCACTACCCCCTCTGTTACTTCCATCTAGTCTAGCACATTTCTTTCTTCACATCACAACAGATGCCTAAAGAATTCCAATACTGTGCAACAAACCCTACAGTGAAATGCTTTCTTGTAATGCTGACAGTATCTTCTTGGCTGAAAGGATCCAAACACATGAGAAAAACATATTCAAATTACAGTGACTACCCCAACAGCAGACCAACAAAAGCAAAATATCAAATCAACTATCAACTTAAATAACATACTAGAATCTTTTAAATTACTACTACTTTTTAAAGTTTGGCAAAGGCAGTAGAAAATAAGCTGAATATATGTTTTGCCTGGAAGCCTAGGTAAAACATACAGTAATTCAAAGCACTAGTTAACTCAATTTAAATTTACCTAGTAAAAGTAAAAATTGTATTGTACCTTCATGCTAATACAGATTTAGGTTTAAATTTTTAAGTTCTTTTTCATTCTTTAATAGTTGAAAAGAATATTATCGGTAAGTGCTGAAGAAATTTACTTTGCACAAACATCCAAAATTGTTTTATTGATTTACTAAGCAATATGGCTCAACAAATTGAGCAGATGTGTATGGACTTTATGCTTGAAGGATCATCTTGTCAGGTCCTTTACCTATCATCTTGGAAACCAAGTCATTAGAATAGTTGATATTCTATGTCAAATATCGTCATACAGGGAGCAATGTTTATGTGGTGCAACATACCTACAAAGGCCTCATTCAGAATTGCTAGACATTACCCCTAAACGCCTTTTTAGAAATAAGTTCAAAGAGATAGGAAGTTGTTAAAATATTATTCATAATTCCTGACGAATGTACAGTATAAACAAAAATCAAAATTGCGATGTATCTTAGTAGGGATCTATGTCAAATGTTAATAAATAATTGGAGATTTCAATGTCTTAATTTACTAAACAATCATCCCGGGATAAATAAATTAAAGTCATTTAAGATCTATAATTGTATCAGATGAGTTTTAATGGAAAGTTGATGTAAACATTGAACATTATACTGTTCAATGTCTCAACTTCCTCAAATAAAACATATTTTTTATTACAAAATCAAGGTTTGTGAAAATTTACCCCAATTTTGGTAAATATTTTACCTTGGCTGTTCGACTTCTGTAACATATCACTACAAAGGTTCCTTCAGGATTTTAGATAACGCTCAAATAACTTTCCACAATCCCCATACATTAGTCACAAGGCATATTGTTATACTTTCTGATTAGAATATTATATGTTAAAATTGATATAACAGCTGGGGGTATGAGAAAGCAGCAAAAGGGGGCCAATACGATTGTAGTTATTACCTCATCTAGAAATCTGGTCGGATGGTTAATTTCAACAAGATAAAATCTATTTGCTGAGATCAAATGTTATAACAGAAATACATATGTTACTTGAAAATCATTAAAAAGACCAGATATTTTCTATGATTAAAATATATATTTGTTGTCAATTTTGCGATCAAATACATTTTTTCATATAAAAAATTTATCTTGATAAGGTAATCAGATGAAATAAATCATTGGATTTACAACTAGAATTAGGTCTCTGTGATCAGAATATTTTTTCTGTGATTGGAATACAAAATACCTTAGAAGTCAGATGAAGTCCCACATTGTCTTGTGAGGTTGCATTAGCAATGTAGATTGTCTTTTTAGTACTCTTATATTTTGTAGATTTTCTTGTTATGACTATTATTTAAATTTGTACCTCAAACAAACAAAGAAAACTATATAGGTCTATAGTAAATTAGTATCTTAATTTGCTATTGTACTTTATAACAATACAGAAGCTTAAAATGGATAATGAGTAAGACTATAGATATGTTATTATTGTTACTGTCCATTATCTATTGTTACATTGCATTTCTTTAGTTGTTTCGTATGTATGTTAGAAATAATTATAAGTATAGTTTTTTTGTGTCAGTTCATCTTTAGTTATTAAGTAAATAATGATTTTATTTTTTCACATGCAGTTTGATGGTAGTAAACTGCATTTCTAATGTTTTTCTTTACTATTATATATTATGTTCATACTATGGCGGCCTTTTGCTTGTCTGCACTTTTTTTTATCATTTGTATTTCAATTTACTTGACGGATTGAGATAGACAGTAGTATAAATACCATTTTCCTTCAACCCCCTGGCACTAGCCTTTGAATTCAATGGTAGCAATGGTCAAGGTAAAATACTAATCGACCACTGAAAAGAGAATGACAAGCTGAAACGATTTCACATGAGCCGCGAAACTAACTTTCAAATTTCATTATTCACTAGTTGTTAACATGCTCTTGTAGTATTTCTGCTTTTCGAGATCTGTATCTAGACCACTCTACTTATAGCTCAATGTTTAAAGATATACGTCTGTCTTTAGTCAATTAATGGTAAAATAATGTTTAAATTCACTTTCTTTGTACTCTATGATATTAGCTTTCAATTAAAAATTAAAACTACTAAAATTATAATTAATATACTATTTTTAGATACATAAAGAACACTTTTCTTCATTCTTTTGTATATTGCAGACAATTATCTGAATGATATTTTTTTGTGAAAAACTCTGTAAGTTAGCAAAAAGTATTTGGATTTACCAGTGTCTCATTGGAGGTTGGAACTTAATTTCACATGGAAAAAAATAATGTTTTAATTTTGTTTTAAATGAATGTTTGAAGAGTACTTTTCCAGGTTTTTAAAAAATTTTCTTTCAAAAAAAGTTTTGTGGATTTTGTCAACAAATTCTTGCATTTCTACTTTTCAAAAACAAATACATTGGATTGGAATTGGTTAACCTATAGCGTTACTGCACTACTTCATAGAAGATGATTGATTTTGGGCAAAGAAATTGAAAGAGCAATGAAAGCATAGTGACTGAAAATTAATCAATCAATTTGCCTGGTGATTCGCCAAGAGTCTTCTGGAAATTAGTACTGTCTCCTGTACTCACACAATCAACCAACAATTCCCCAGAAACTAACTCCCACAAACTCAGAATGAATTTTATTAATGTCATAATTGTCTCACTGAAGTTAGCTAGGTAGGGGTATCATCGTATGAGCAAAATACATCAAACTGTTGCCTTATGTTTTACTAGAATATTGTTAAGGTAATAAACAATGCCATTGCCAGGAAGTAAATGTGTTACTAATTTTGTAGGCTTATATATATA